ACATAATTTGCATTCACATTTTGCTAATTATATTATTGCAACACTATTTCCTTCTATGACGAACGTATATTTGCTTTCACATTTTTTATTAGCGTGAGTTTAATGTATTTTTAAATTACCTCCTTTGTCAAAATTAGAAAAGAGTTAAATTCATTTGATTTTTCTAACCTACAGTTATTATGTTATTAAAATGTATCCACTTTTTCTAGGAATATTAACGAAAACTATATTTGACATTGATCCTTTTAATATGTTTTAGCAATGTGCGTGTATTTAATATTCTCTTTACGTTATGCAAAATTGAACAAACAGTGGAAATTATAAAATAGCTCTATGCCGCTATATAAACAAACCCTACTCTAATACTTATAATAAGACACTGCGGTGCACTGAAAAGCACTGAGTGGTGCGAATGTTTACTTTTATGGTTCCAAAAGCTATAGCGATGACAGAAGGAAGGAAGGAAGGAAGGACTGACACACGCTCAGCCCGCTTATATTATAGATATATATATATATATATATATATATATATATATATATATATATATATATATATATATATATATATATATATATATATGGAAAACATGGGTCGCTCTAAATTTAAAAAAAAGTTCCATCTGGTACACGAATAAATCAGACGTTTTCCAACACACGAGCTGGCCCCTTTCAGTTTTCCAAGTGAGAAGCACAAACTCTCTAAATCTAGTCCAACACACCAAACTGAGGCTTTCATCAAAACGTTACCAACCGTGTGCCCTGTTTTCCAGAAGTTGAATTAAATGTTAACAATGTCGGCAGTTCATTTCTTGGATCTTAGGGCGCGGGTTTGTCCACACTACCAACTAGACACGCTAAGGCATGCTGTAAGTCCCTCGGCGACGGCCCAGGTGTCAGGGAAGTCACGGGGCTCTTGGAGCTACCGGTTACATTACTGCACGGGTGATGGGTGTGACACATCGTTTCTTCCGGCAGAGCTCCCCCCCCCCCTCCTCTCCCCCGAAAACAGTCTACCCTGGAAGAAACATTGGTGCGACACCTAATTAGATTTAGTCATCGAGGGTTGTAGCGAGACTTATTCCTAGTGTTGTGGGAACTTTTAATCGACTGTCTGTGGGGGCCAACTTGATCATATGTGATGCGCTCAGGATGACACTGCCGCCGGTTGTATTCAAGTAGTACATCCGCTTATGCAGGATCTTCGGGCGTTAAATCACATATTTCCGTTAGGCGTCCCCACTCCAATATGTACAAATGTTAGGCCTATGACAGAAACCTTTGCGGGGCTGTACTCAACAGCTTCCCAAGTTTTCATGGCGATTGGGTGAATGATGCAGTAATGCATAATAGACAGAAAAATGTTTTTCACGTGTAAAACTGTATGTGGCCAGGTCACGCGTTGGATAACCTTCTGATTTAGGGGAGGGGGGCGGGGGGACTAACAAAAAGCCAGACCCTCACACACCTCCCACCTCAATGACGTCATTTATAAATAGTAATTGACTATTAATAATGTTCAATTAATTCTAAACGTTCTAATTAATTTCTAAATAATTATATAAATATATATAAAAATAGTCTTACCTGCCCTGTTTTGTGAATTAGATGTGCCTAATACTATGAAAGTAAATTAATATCTGTTGACTTGATCTAGTGCTGTCTAGTGTCTGACAAAATGTGCTGAAGTGGTGAATCGTACGGTTAGGAAGTAGTTCATAAACGATACATTTATCTCCTCGATACTTGTGAGGTTGAGAAAGAGGGATGGGATAGGGTTCGGCTCGGGAAAAAACTTGAAAGAGACCACAAAATGCCGCAAAGAAAAACCGCGCATCATGAAAGCCCACTTCATGTGTAGCGGCTTTTCGTGCTATGGACTTTGTTGTTTTTTAAAAAGAATTTTGCCGGCGACAGCGTGTGTTTGATTGTAGGGAAATAGAACTCGGCCTTGACTATGGTTAAAAAATACAACTATAAATAACTTTTAAATATGTAAAAAATGTGTCGACAATTTTTTAACCCCCTTTTTGGTCCCCATCCCCTGCCCCACCCGCCACAGTACACTTTGGAGGATCGGTCAAACAGTTACGTGTCCTCTATTTAACTATTAAAAGGGGGGGGGGGAACGAGTCAAAGAAGTCATTCAAATTTGAAGAGTTACCTATATTTTACACTAGTTTGTGTAATGGATTTTATCTTTTGCGGAAGAGCGTGTATAGTGACTGTAAAATAAAGATAATCGTACCGCAGCTACAGTGTTTTTCTTTTACAAACCAAATATTAAGGCAAAAAATGCACGAAAATTAAATTCAAAATTTTTAAAAATATTAATTTTAATCAGCCGTGGGCCCCTAAACGGCTCGCCCCCCCCTCCCCCCCCCCCCCCCACGGCGCATTGCGGGGTCTGGCGGGACTGTAGTTCCGCCCCTGTTCATCAGGTAAATGAACAACTACTGACTAGTGTCTTTAACAGAAGTGGTCAGTTTACAGTTCAGTAGTTCATAGACGGTTCGTTAATCTATGCATTACATCTTATTGTAAGAGTAAGGGTGTGGTGAGGGGTAGAGGGGAGGGGTAGGGGTGAGAGGGGGGGGGGGAGGGGAGAGAGTTGGGAAGGTTCATTGGAAGGGGACAAGAAAGCGCCGATAAACATCTACATCAATAGTGCCGACTTTTTCCGGTCGTCTAGAAGACCAGGATAGTCGCCGCAACATTTCCCCAGCCCGATTTCAAAGCGTGCCGGCACAGTCAAATTTCAGATGTTTCGCTACAAGTTTATTGATACAGTTGTTAAAGTAAAAATGAACGCAATTATAAATGTACGAGATCGAAATAAATAATTATATTTTTTGTAGAATTCAGGCCAGTAGTTTAAACACACAATCATAGATATGTATTTTAATAATGTAAACAATATAACAATGCTTTTTTGTTCTCCTAAACGACGCCACTAAAAAGAACGGTAGGCTACGTCTTTGAAGTTGTCTATATGTCTGGCGGTCTCTCGAGCTATAGTCTGTGCATTTTTCTCAAAGACGTTTGCCGACTATCGTGTTTGTTTGTAACTGTAGAAGAAAGATAACTCGACATCCACCTAATTTTTTTTTTAATTTTTTTATTTTTTTTTAAAAATAATTTAGCCAGGATTTTTGGGCCCCCAATCGGTCTGGGCCCCCCCCCCCGCATTGCGGGGTCTGGCGGCACTGTAGTTCCGCCCCTGAACTATTGTCATATTCTTAGTGAATCAACAAACAATTGTACCCGACAATTTAATGAAGATACAATATATTCGCCGAATTACTGTCTATTCAGAAAACAAAGATATTTCTAAATAGATTTTTGTATTCATTGGCAATATTTTTAAACAACAATAAACCGCCGCTTAATTTTAATATATGCACAGGCCTAAAAAGATTACCACTTATGAATACAGTATGTTAATTTGAATTATTAATTACAAATTTATTCTAATCAAACCGCCTTGGAAGTGTATAAAACAAACGACTCAACCAATGTTTTTCTCGATAATTCTTGTTTTAAAACTATTTATCACCTCAACATAGAGTCTTTAGGTCTATTCATGTTCATGCAATTGATGCCACTCATTAATGTTTGCGATGAACGTAATTTTTTTTACAATTTCTGTTTTTTAGAGAGTGATTCTCAAGATAGTCTTAGAAAAAAGCCAGTCATGATGATAGGATGTGGAATATTATCCAACGACTAGATTTTAAAAATTTGATCAATTAAAAAACAGTTTAAGAAGCATTTTTACAAATATTATGAAACAAATTAAATTCTTAGATCTCCTTTTTTTTACAGACATACTTACTGACACACTTATGTATCTTCTAAAAATGTTTAAAGAAAATTTATTTTTATGTGTTTGTAAAGCGAATGGCTGAAGGTAACGTCGTTGCAATATTGACATATATTCTCAAACGGCAGAAAGATGCACAGGTGATTTTTTTAATAGAAACTAACTTAACACTATTACATGATATAATTTAATATAGAACAAACTGAAATTTAGCGTAAAAACGATCCATTTATATAAACGTATATATTTCCAGAATGTCAGTTCACTATATGTTATCTATAACGTGCTATCCATTTTACACAACATTGTTTACTGTACGGAAAGAACTGATGAATTTCGGAAGGCCGATACCGCCGAAGTAAGTAAAAAATACCAATACACACACACACACATATATATATATATATATATATATATATATATATATATATATATATATATATATATATATTTATTTATTTATTTATTTATTTATTTATAAATAAATTTTAAAGCTTTAATTTTCGCTGATAAAGAAACTGAATTTCGCAATAGAGTTCGAATTTACTTCAAGAAACAATTGTAAATAATACAGTGGCGTAGGCAGGGGGGGGGGGTTAGGGGGGTTATAACCCCCCCATGGACCCCCAAAATGACTATTTTTTTACGTTAAGCTACAGCTATTGACTTGTGTCGATATTATTTAGGGCCTAAACACTTAAGCCTGGCAGCCTCTAGAACAATATTCAATAATTTATATCATTGTGATGAGAATTGCCTGTAGAATTTAGCTATGAATTTTATTATCGCGCTAAAGTAAAGTATAATAATCTGGAACGCAGTAGGCCAAGGGAAAGTTGGCCAAGGTTAGATCAGTTAAGGATTGTCGAAAGGGAGGGGTGGGCTACGTAGGTAGGCCTTTGTTGTCTAATATGATTTTAGTGCAATCGGAAAGCGTCTAGAAATGAAAAACAAACAAACAAAGGAATTGACTATTATTCGCATTGAGGTTCAATAATGTGTATGTTTTTACTACTTCAAACCATTTGAAATTCGTTTCACTTAATTTTTAAAAAGATAAGTAAACTGAAAATGATAAAGATGGCAGAGGGAGGAGTAGGCAGGGGTGAGGGGAGGGGGGGGGGGGTAGAACCTTCAAAATGACAATCCTTTACGTTACGTTACAGCTATTGACGACGATGGACTTGTGTCGCTATCATTCAGTGCTTAAACAACAAACACTCAGGGTCGCAATAGGCGAAGGGAAAGCTGAACAAGGTTATCAGTTAAGGGGTGTAAAAGGGGGTGAGGGTGGGATGAATATTGGTAGGTATCAATTATAAAATACTACCGGATGCACATCTGGCAGGAAGGCGTGGGCTTGACCCACAATTGTTGACACAAAACTTTGTGTTGGTAGGCTATATAAAAAAAAATGCGTATTTAATTAAATATAGATGTAAAGCCAGGAACCTACAGTAGTCAATTTAGACAGAATAGAAGACCAATAATAATTTGCTTTCTTCTTCGTATAGTCGTGTTTTAATGTGTATCTTTTAACTACTTCAAGCAATTTAAATTCATTTTAATGATGGCGGAAGGAAAAAGGAAATTAAAAACTACTTTATTAACTGATTTCTTTACAAAGAAAAGTAAAACTGAAAATGATAAAATTGAAGATGGTACTATTGCTTTTCAAAGTACATTACATCAAGAAATTTCCATAAATTCAGCACCTTCGACTGTTTCTTACACAAATCATATCGGCAATTTTATCAAAGGAGTTATAACAGACGATACACGGTTGTATTTATTAGAAAACATCTGGCGTCCTGATGAACTTTTAAAATTTCCAGCAAGCGGACAAAGAAATTTAAAGTTTCAATATTTGTGGCTACTTAGGTGGAACTGGTTGACTTATTCCAAATTACTTGATGGCGCATTTTGCAAATATTGTGTTTTGATTAGTTTGAATTATCGTGGTGTAGGTAGTCAGCCTATGGATAAGCTATCAAAAATTTCATTTTCAAACTGGAAAAAGGCAACAGACAAGTTTAATGAGCACCAGCAATGTGAGTATCATAAAAGAGCAATTTTACTTTCCCAAAATCGTAAATCGGTGATGGAGAAAAAAATTGAACTTATTAAAATCTTCTTAAATTTTTCATAAGTCAACAAATTCAAGAAAATCGTTTTAAGATTAGCGCCCATAATAGAATCTATAATTTTTTGCGGCCGACAAGGAAATTTTTAGTTGGAGAAAACTGCTGAAAATGATGGAAATTTGATTTTTATAATTTTTTTACGATAATGTACATGTGTTACTTGTTACAAAACAATAGCTAATACTAAGATAAGTTAGCCGGTGGCACCCACGAGTTTCTATTGTCACCAGCCACCAATACTTTACACGTACGCACTTACACATACATATGTACACACACACACACACACACACACATATATATATATATATATATATATATATATATATATATATATATATATATATATATATATATATATATATATATATATATAAATGCTGAAAAAAATTTGAACCCCCCCATGAGATGATCCTGGCTACGCCACTGAAATAATATATTTATATATATTAACTATATATATATATATATATATATATATATATATATATATATATATATATATATATATATATATATAGATATATATATCAAGTAAACATCATTCTTAAGTAGGTAACAGCTATAAACGACGTGCAAGGTATTAGCAAATATATATTCAAATTAACATTCGAGACGCTATTATTTATTTTTAAATTTTATCTAAAGATAGAGATTCATGTTTCTATGGTGGGTAACTTAAACATTGTGTAAAATGCATAATTAAAATTCACAAGCAGAACAGGTCTTACTTTAATATAACATATTTTTTTTAACTTCCAAACTCCCGAACAAAATAAGAGCATTAAAAGTAATAAATACATAATGACATATGTTAAGATTTTTAAAAAATGAACTGTTATTGTGTATGTAAAATAATGCATAATAAAGTGTTTTTTCCGCTTACAAGGTAATTATCAACATGAATTCCAGTAATAAATTGATCTCATTCCAATTAAAAGTTTTACCGTCCTTAATTGGAGAAAATTTCAGAAAGGAGACAAAAGGTAATAAACAATTTCATTTGAATTCCTTTTTTTTTCAATAAAAAAAAGAGATTATATTTAGTAGACTAGTTAATTTTCAAATTGCTCTCAGCAACCCCTATTATTTTATTCAGTAAATTTAGAATATTCAACTCTAATAGAAATAACATTTTGACAAACGTTTAATGTTCAGAGCGATGCCGACTTTTTTTTTAAATTTTTACACGTTTTTATTTAGTTCCGTTTTACTGTTTGTTCGTTTGTAGTTTGTGAGTTTGTGGCAATTCTTGTAATTCAATGTTGACACACGTCAAATGCAGCGATTTCGTTTTAAGAAACGTTCCACTATTTTTTAATTTAATGAGATGTTTAATTCGTCACTAAAAATTAATTTAACGGTTTGGAATCTAAAGGAATGACAGCAAAATATTAAATCACTCGATACATTACTATATTAAAAACTTGCATTCGTCTGTAAAATATGGTCACGGACAGCTGCATTCACAGGGAGATAATCGTCTTTCAGATATCACGATCTTGGGATGGTGTTTTAAAGCAAATAGTTTTAATCGTTTCGACTTCATAAATTAGGAATCACTAAAAAGATAGAAAATGAAAGAAATAAAAAATCATTTCTATTGGCAAGCTTTTGAATGCACAGAAAATAAGAAAATAAAACTAAATTGCTTTTTTTTTTATAAAAGCTTTTGTTACTCATTAAATCTTTTACATATTCTAGAAACCAAAGCTTATATGAAAAGAAGCAAATTAGTTATATTTTTTTTCAGTGCATTTAAAAGCTTGCTATTTAAAATGTTTTTTAAATAATTGTATTTTTTTTCGCAATAGCTGAACTAAAACAAGCAATAATTAAAGGTATTTACAAAGCTATCAAGAACAACGAAAGAGTTCATCTTGAAGTACAACTGAATGGTCTGCTAAAGTGTCTCGCCAAATTAGCAGAAGGAGATGATGATTTTCAAGACGTATTATTCCATTTTATCTTGCTATTCTCTAGTTTCAAGCTTATTTGAATATATTTTAATATATTTTTTTAAAGTTGCGATTATAATAATTGTGATACAAGATAATGCTAAATCGTGAATATCGTTACATTCATCAAAGTCCCTCATGCAGTAAGCAATTGACTTACAAATGAAGCCAGTAAAGCAAGCCTTTACAAGTTAAGTTACATTGGGCAGATGAAGTAGAGTTTATCAGTTTCTGTAAACTCGGAACATTAAAAGTTATTGTGATCAGGTTACGTCACTCAGCCACACGTTATAGTTTGTTTACTCATTGACATCCTAAGAACTAAGTCCGGGATCCGAAATTAGAACTATAAGTCGACTCTCTAACACCCGACCACTGCATCGTATGCGGCACTTTGAATTATATAATACTCGTTTTTTTTTCATACAACAACTTTTTTAGGTCATGATGTTAAGCTATTTTAATTTTTTTTTTAAATCATACATCTATATTGTAAACATGTATTCGGATACTTCGCAATTACTGAAAATACTATTAAAAAACTCACAGATACTCAAGCTGCTTCCAAAATTTAAAGAAATTCTCTTACACGGGAACAAATCCGAGCAACGAAGTACTATTGCATGTTTAAAGGAATTAAGTAGAAGTATGGAAGCAAGTCAACAATTTATTAATGATGAAACGTTAAACAAGATGTTGGAGCAGTTGACCACCAGTCCAGACAAAGATATTTCAGACAATGCACACTCAATACTCTGGAGATCGGGAAAAAGTATCGGAATATTGCCTTCTAAAACAGGTCAGAGTTACTTTTTTTTTAATTTAAATCACAAAATATATTGAGACATATGCTTATTTTATATATTGGAATTTTTAAAATAAAAAAAATACAAACATTTTCATTTTGTTGATTTCTTTAAACAAATACAAACAACTATTTATCACCATCTGCTTGCTCTTATTATCTGTCCTTTCGAAAATGTATTTATTCTTAGTTTTAGATTTTGAAATATAATTTTGCTCTTCTATTATATATATATATATATATATATATATATATATATATATATATATATATATATATATATATATATATATATATATATATATATATATATATATATTGTTTTTGGTTATGGAATTTGAAAAATAAATGAGGAAATCTACATGTCGGTTTTTAATTTGAGATATCTACTGTTCGCTCTACACAACAAGAACCTCTACCCTATTTTTTTACATTTTATTTATCGCAGATATGGTACTTTCAGAAGAATTCCCGAAAAACTTTACAATCAATGAATCACTTTTAGGAAGAGGTGCCTTTGGAAGCGTTCATCTGGTAACAGATGAAACCAGGCCTGAGGATAAAAATTTTGTTGCAAAGAAATCCTGTTTTGCACCATTTACCGAAACAAATAGTTTTCTTGTAAGTTTTATAAATACACTACGTTATGACTTGTGACTACAAACAAAAATATTATAGATGCACAAAATATGAAGGAACATTTATTGGAGATGTGTAAATTGGAAAAAAATGCCTAATTTATCTACCATTAAAATTTAAGGGCTATGAACAAATGACGATAAAGTATCGAATGTTTATTAGAAAATGTTAAGTTTTTTTACAAGAATATGCATGTTTACGTTCATATTCATAATTATGTAAATATTCACATTTAAATCTGGACAGTAGTAAAATTTCATACTGACACATATTGTTATATACCAATATCAAAGAGATTTTTTTGGAAATCCCATTCCCGTTTTATGTGCTTAAATAATTTTTGTTTCCCTTTAAAAAAAAAAAAAAAACATTGTTCAAAATGTGTAGGAATATCCTGGTAAATATTTGCTCTATTGAACAATTTTTATAACAATCAAACAAAACATATTTAAATATAAAACGACTTTCCTACTCAGTTTACTGAAAGGCTGCTTGAAATGCAACAAGATGTTGTTACGAATGATACATCTCCTCTTATAGTTTGTAGTAATTTGTGGATAACCCAAAAATTATTTGTATGTAAAAACTAATTTAATGTTTCACACAAGCGTCAATTGATTAGCTTCATTTAGATCCGTCATTATTTGACATCTAATGTTTGTTGAAACATTATAAATATGATTTGGTTTTTAAAATGAAAATTATGAATTTTAATATTTTAGGATATGTGTAAAAAGGAGGCAACGATTCTACTTAAAGTAAAGCACAGACGAATAGTTCAATTTCATGGATTTAGGAAAACGCAGGATGCTTTTTTTATATTTTTAGAATATCTGAAAAATGTAAGCAAAACACGAGTTTATTTTTTTATATTTTGTATAAAATGGAGTTAGTTCTATTTCCGATTTGGTTTTAATTTACTTCAGGGTACTCTCGCCGCATTTATCTCTAAGAGAGGTAGTTTGGGTGAAAACTTGACACGACACTTTACCATTCAAATTGTGGAAGGTGTTAATTACCTACATCAGAATAACATCCTGCATAGGGATATCAAAGGTTAGTGTCGTAAATATGTTTCACTTTCTAGTGTTTTTTTTCTAGTACATGTTATATTATATTAAAAATGGCCTTCTTTGTGACATAAATAAATCAGGTTTAGTGTTATTGATTTAATAAACCTTTCTTCAAGGCAATAACGTTCTTATGGAAGATGACTGGAACCTAAAGATTACAGACTTTGGTTTATCTGAGTTTATTGATGCCAATGGGGTCTCTACAGAAATTGCGACAGTGCGATACATGGCACCAGAAGTGATTTATACAGAAGGCAACGTAATACAAAACTACACAAGCAGAGCAGATATATGGTACACATTTTTATCAATAAGATAGGGATGGTGGTAAATAACGAAACATTTTATTACAATTTAAAAAACACAAATTTACATTTACAATCAAAATTATATACATTTCGACTGAATAACTATTAGAACGATTCTTTTCTTTTAAAATGTATAGGCACTAGATTAAAATGTATCAAAATCTAATAGGTTTTATAATACTTTTATTCATGTTTATTTCTTTTAAGATTTTAAACTCGTTAATTAAGCACTTTCACAACTTTTGCTAAAAGCTTCTTAAGTTAGTAATATAAAGTTAATAATTAGGTTACTTTTTATGAAAAATAATTTTTACACGATTTATCTAAGAATCTGTTTACCTACTTCCTGGTATACATATAATGTAAATCAAATAAACCGGGAGTGATCTCCCCTAAACTTTCTCGAATATTCTTATATAAAACAACAGGGGATGGGAACTCGGGATATAGTTATGATTTTTAATCCATTTTAAATACATAAACTTTTTTTAAAATAAAAAAGAATCTCATAGAAAAAAGTATTGCACACCAAGTGAACGCCGAATAAAGATGTTCATAATGGTGCGCAATATTATTAGTACTCTATAAATTTAAATGCGTTTTTGAGAAATCGGAAATAGCGTAAATTAGTACTTCCCGTCAACGGAAATTACTCAAAATTTAACAGAAGGTAGAGAATTAGATCTTTTACTTACATGTGAAATTTCATTTATCTATTTGAAATAGTACTCAAGTTATAGGCTTTTGAAAAATTCAAAGTAGAAAAAGTACCACTTCCGGTTATCGGAAATCGCTCAAAAGTTGATACGGATCTACGATTTTGATAAAATACTTATATATGAAATTTCATCAACCTAGCTGTAACGATACTCAAGTAATCGTGTTTACACACAAAGACACACACACACACACACAGACACACAGACATACGGACAAGATTGCAAAATTATGTGTGAGGTGTAAAACGTCGAGATTTGTAAAAATCTCGATTTTTTTTTGCACGATTACAATACTTTCTCTATACTACGTATATACGAGAAAGTAAAAAGGTAGACTACTCAATATTTATTATTAAATAAGAATGTGTAATTCATAGTATCGAAAATATAAGGTGGTATTATTTGTTTATTTTCAAGTCGATTTTACTTTAATTTAATAGCAATTTAGAAATTAGGTTAACTTATATATTGATAATTATGATAAAACTAGTCCCATTTTAATTTTTTAATTGAATTCTCTAGTTAAATAATCGTCTTGGTTAAAAGCTCACGAGAAATAGCTTAGGCGGTTTTGTGGTTAAAACTTCTATTTTAATTTTAAAGTAAGTTAGAGAAATAAATACCACTATGCACAGGAAGTTCCATAGTATGCCTATGTGTGGTATTTCAAAATGAACCCATGTTAAGCCGTACTTCAGCTTGAACCCTGATACCGAACTCTACTATCTCATCATCGCACTAGATATAGGCATAACCAAACCATACAACAACATATATAAATTACTATATACCGTTGACATTACACACACTTGTTTTCATCACTGCAGGAGTGTAGGTTGCACTGCGGTAGAGATGGTGACAGGAAAACCTCCGTACCCATCACTTCTCTCAGCCCAAATAATCTTCCACACTGCTTTGGGGAATCCACTACAATATCACCTGCCTGAAACTTCATCTGTTTACTTCAGGGAGTTTTTAAACAGGATTTTACATCGGGACTCTAAGTCAAGGCCAACAGCTGAGTGGCTGTTAAAAAATGATCCGTTTATTCTGGGCAGAGACGCGCTGGAAAGTTTAGATGACATTAAATGATTTTTAAAATGAAAATCAATTATCAGCAGTCTTACAATACACCTCAGCACAGGTATATAAAACAAATCTGCTTCAGCGTTAACATAAAAATACTTATGAAGAATATTCATACCAATGCGTGTACGTACCTGATTTTGTAATTGGATAATGTACTATGTGAAGAATCAATTTATAATTTAACATAGTTTGAAAACTTTATTTATTTATTTATTGATCACCCTTGTGTGCAAGTCTGAATATTTTAATGTATTTTAAACTGTGATAGCTAATAACATTTTAAACACATTTTCTACGACAGAAAAAGAAAGAGAATGTGAGAGACAGAGAGACTGAGAAACACACACACACATACACACTCAAACACACATTTATATATATATATATATATATATATATATATATATATATATATATATATATATATATATATATATATATATATATATATATATATATATATATATATATATATATATATATATATATATATATATATATATATATATATATATATATATATATATATATGTGTGTGTGTGTGTGATAACATTAACATCTCTTGAAATTATAACCTAACAATACTTTTTTTTTACCACATTATATTATGAATACAATTTAGCATGTTGTTTGTATTAGTTTTGAACATCATTGTTTTAATTTTTACAATGAAGCTCAATAATATGTTGCAATATTAAAATTAGTTTTTTTATTAATGTATGCTGTTGTAAGTATATAATAAGTCTAAAAAATAGATAAATTTCGTATCGTTTAGTGCATTATATGTATTACATTTTTTATCTTCATCATAATTTTCTATGAGGTTATTTGCAATTACTATACGATTTGTTATTGTCAGTTACTGAATATGTTACCCTAATAATTCATGCTGAAGTATAATTTTATGATGATTTAGAGGGGAAAAAATGTTAGTTAAATTCTGAATAGTTTTAAATTAATTTTTTTATTTACAGTTATTCAAGTGTACTATTTTAATATACATCTTTCCTCGTTAGTTTAATAATTGTTAAAACGTTTTTTTTTAATTAGTACTTCGCAGTTTTTCTTTTACTATCAATTCCAATATTTTTTGTCAGCACACAGATTTTATCTTCTAGAAATATTTTCATCGTGTTCCCGCGATTCTCTAGCAGTCAAGTTAAACAATAAACAAACATTGTAAACTTTTTTAATACAATATTTTAATGTGCACAAAAATAGATTTAAAATTTACAAAAATTGCGTTAAACATGACTAAACATAACCAGAACAATTGAAAGTGTTCAAACAAGACTAGAAAAAATAAATTGTTAAACACAATAGGCTTTTCCTTACATATAAAAAACACTTTGAAATTTTAAAAAAAAATAAAGCTTTAATCTTCAATAATTATTGTCAGTGTGTCTGTTTGAGTGTGCATGTTTTTGTTAAAGAGAAATTACAATTACACAATTATTGCATAAAATTTGAATATATTATTGCATTTCAACTTAAAATGGTATACATTATTTTAAAATGTCTGTATTTCTAAAATGTCTGTATATCTACAATTTGTAATTAAGTAAATCACTAATGGTGATTAATTAAAGTATAACTCCTTCAATATTCAAAACATTTTGTACCTCATATTAAAAGTTAATCTTTTTGTTCTAAAAACTAAACTTTAAACAAACTTTAGAGAAATGTGTTTAGTCTTACTTCTTTATTAGTAGATACTCCATAGACATTCTTATTGAAAGGGTATATCACAAAATTTAAAATGTTGTGATTACGCTTTAAAAGACTCCTTTATTACTTCAAATTCATTTTAAAATATTAAAACACATTGTAAACAATCGGTATCCCTATCCGCCTCTTTAGAGATCACCTGTTTAACATAAGTTCATAGTTACATCTGACAACTGCATGTGCAGAGATGCAACAGATGTAATTACTGTTGAAATAATTAATGCAACATTAAAAGATTTCACGGCGGTATTCTGTCTAGGGTATCGTCCATAAATGATGTCACATTCGTAGGGGGGAGGGGGGGTCCGTAATTTTGTGACGGTGTGTGATGAGGGGATGGGGGGGGGGGTTCAGATGGTGCGACGTCACACTTTTGCATTATAGAAAAGCAATGTTAGAAAACTAATTTTAGTCATTATTTTGCATTTTAGAAAACAGTTGTAATAAATTGTAATAGAAATTGATTAAAATACTCTATGTCGACAGTGTTTAGACAAGATTTTGGAAAATATTGATTTTTTAAGAAATATTCAACTGCAATTTTAGGGTGGTTGTAGCGGAGGTGTGACGTCATTTTAGGTGGTGTGTCTGGCTTTTTATGACGATGTGTGACGGAGGGGAGGAGGGGGGGAGATAAAAAAGGTAAAAAAAAAGCGAGACGTCATTTATGGATGAGAAAACGTAGACTATTTAAGATATTGAAACAAAATATTTTGAATGTCGAGTAAGTGAATTATTCGCTGATAAGGAGCCAATATTTTACAATTGTGTCGATGTCTACAACTCTACTTAAAATTCCAGACTTTTTTTGATAACAAGAAAACATATTTCTATATATCATTATACTCGTAATTCAATATTTATAATAATTAAATTTTTGGGTAAAGGGGGCTTAATGGAATATACTATAGTTTGACATCTACATATATATATATATATATATATATATATATATATATATATACGAAAATGTTACCTCGATATAACAGATATTTAACAAAATTGTTCTAAAATCGATAAGAAAAGCTGGTGGAGCTTGAAATTGTGTGACAATGAGTGTGAATGACGAGAGAGAGAGAGAGAGAGAGAGAGAGAGAGGCGTGTAATTTTTTTAAAAGCGAACTTAATATCAACGTAAAACATGTATGCGAGCACATAATGCTTCGTTTACAACACATCTTTTATAACCATTATTGACTGCATAGATTAATATACATGTAGAATTTTGAAAACTAATTGATGCCATCCAAAGTTAACCCTACATGGTTACCTATAATTTACACGCACTCTAAACACACATTATAAACTGTGAACGAGTTATTTGAATGTCTATGATAAAATAACAAATGTATAGACATTTTGAAGTGTAAAATTAAACGTACATATAGCAAAAATATTATTGATTTCATAATCGTAAAAGAAGAATAAAAAATATACTATTATTTTACTTTAAACATCATAATGGTATTAAAGAAGAAGCGAAAAATACTAAACTATGCAGAAAATGAAGACATATTTTCAAAAGTTGTTAATGAAATTAGTTTCTAAATCACTTTAATTAAACATATTCACTGTACTGTTTAAACCATTAAAAAAGTAAGCAATAATTTAGATGTCAAGAAAAAATAAGCCTTTCACTATCGCTGCACAAATGAGTACTGTAGAAATGCATTTCCAATGAAAATGCCTTTCAATACATTTAAAACTTCTCTCTTTTCTAAACTAACGATCAATTGGGGCAAGCGAAGTACAGTTCAACTTTTTCTGTGACCTCGGCATATGAAGGGATATAGTAGTCAGCACTATGCCCAGCGGCCATTCATTTCTCTAACATGCGTTAGGTACCCATCAGAGCTGGGTGGACTCAGGGACGGTCTACTAACTTAAACCCGGATTCGAACTTAAGAATTACAGGTTAGCAGTCTAGCTCTCTACTACTAGTCTACTCCGTTCCTTGTAATATATGTGAAACATGAGTATATAAGCATGCAGTTGGAACAGAAACAATTTTTATAGCTTAAAATTAAAGAGTTTGCATTACGTCGAAAGCTAAGAATTAGTGTTTTTATTGAGCAGCTTGGCGCACAATAAGTTGAAAGATAATAGTTAATTTTGTTAAAGGAAATCCCTGCCAACCTTTCAATTAAGAACGACGAAGAAGATACTAATCCATTTGAAATACAGTAATGCCATGATTTTAGAAGCTTCTTCACCAAAAAGTATCTAGATACCAATTTAGAACAATCAAAAGTTGAAGCTGCATCAAAAGAGATGGTGAAGTAAAAAGCAAATTCATGTACAATTGGCCATCCAATTAGAAAGAAACTCACTAATGTGAATACTAATAGTGAAGCAAAAGAAGTAGATCTGAATCCGGGAAATAATTTTGTGTCAGTTTATTTGCACTAATATAGGTGTACTTCACCTGGAAATGGGGAGTCGATATAATATGTATTTAGGAAAAAAATAGATTTTATATACAAATAATGCGCTAGAATCATTGCACAGTTGATAGTGGAATGTTTATTTTTTTTTTTACAAAACATGGTATTGCATCCCGAAAAAATGTATTGTGATTTTTCAGCCTTTGTTCAACGAAGCAATGTAAAATTATTTGCGCATAATTAGTTGCAATTTACGAAACATAAAATTAGCAGTATAGATTTTTAACATGTACACATATGTAATTTATACATAAAAATGCATTAATCAGATACAACTAGAAAATAATTTATCATCAATAAATTATACTAATCAGACTAGAGCTTGCTATTTAAGCGGTCTCATACAACAGAAAATATATTGCAAATTTCGTAAAACAAATTATATATATATATATATATATATATATATATATATATATATATATATATATATATATATATATATATATGTGTGTGTGTGTGTATGTGTGTGTGTGTATTTCATAACATATATTACATTAAAACGTATTCAAAATATACCCATTGTTATTTTTATTACTGTCCAAAACTACATGTTTTAAATAAGATTATCTATCTTTTAAAAATGAATTTGACTTATTACATTTTTTTAGCAAAAAGAAAGGTTATTTGCAAAAAAAAGAGAAATGAACGATTATGTTAAGACACAAAATTGAAAATTGAAAGAGCGCTTAAATGACATTGTTAAAGAAACGCTATTTTATAATATAATGGTATAATGTAAAATTTAAATGTAACAATAGATTAAAATAATTGTGTGCATTTATTTTTTTTTGTGACCATCTATTAAATACATATTTGTTTCTTACATGT